GTAGTTTGATGAAGAAAGGACAGTATTTTCAACAAATACTGCCAAAATAGTCAGATAATCATATGTAAAACATGAAATAAAATGAATCTTAATCCATATTTCATACTACATACAAAAAGGAACTCAAGATGGATCACAGACTTTAATGTAAAACCTAATACTTTAAAATCTCAAAAATACACAAGAGAATATTTTTGTGATCTTATGTTAGGCAAGGAGTTGTTAGGTATGACACACAATCCATAAAAGAAACATTGTAAAATAGGATGTCATCAAATTTAAGAACTTCTGCTCATTGAAAGACAATGTTAAGAGAATGAAAAGAAAAGCCAAGACTGAGAGAAAGTACTGTGAATTACATTTCTGATATAAGACTTTTATCCAAAATATACAAAGAAATCAAAACTTAAGAATAAGAAAATAAATAACCCAATTTTAAAAATGGGAATATAGTTTGAATAGACACTTCACCAAAGGATATAGAGATGTCAGGTGTATTATTAGTCATTGGTAAATGCAAATTGAACCATGATGAACTATCAGTACCCACCTATTAAAATGGCTAAACTCAAAAAACCTGACAATACCAAGTGCTAGTGAAGATGTGAAAGAACTGGAACTCTCCTCATACTTTGTTCATGGAAATGCAAAATAATACAGCCACTCTGGAAAACAAGTTGGCAGATTCTTATAAACATACACTTCCTATCCAACCCAGCAATCCCACTCCTAGGTATTTGCCCCGGTGAAATAAAAATGTACATTTAAACAAAAACCAGTATATAAATATTTAAAGTGGCCTTATTCATAGTTAGCAAAAAACTGGAAGCAACTCAAATGTCCTTCAACTGATGAATTTATGAACACCAGAATGGAATTTTAGTGAGCAATAAAAAAGAATAAACAGTTGATAATGAATCTCAAAGGTATTATGCTAAATGAAAAAAGCCAGATTCAAAGTCTACAATACTGTATAATTTCAATTATTTACATCCTGGAAAAGGCAATTTGGAGGGGCAGAAAACAGATTAGTAGTTGCCAAGGACTTGGGTAGGGGAAGGATTTGACTACAAAGGGGCACAGAGCAAGTTTTTTGGGTGATGGAGCCATTTCATGTCTTTTTTTTTTCTTATTTTTTTTAAGAGACTGGGGTCTTGTTCTGTCCTCCAGGCTGATCTTAAACTCTTGGACTCAAGATAACCTCTCACTTCATCCTCGCAAGTAGCTGGGATTACAGATGTGAGCTACCACGCGCAGCTATATCTTGAGTATGGTGGTGCCTACATGACAGAATGCATTTGTCAAAACTCACAAAACTATACTAAAAAAAAGGGCTGAAATTATATCTTAACAAAACAATAGTAAAAAAAATAGAAGAAAGAAAAGTCACACACAACCTTATCACCAAAAAATAACCACTTTTTACATTTTGATAATGTCCTTCTGGTCTTTTTTTTTTTTAACAGACTTATTTTTTAAAAGCAGTTTTAGGTTTATAAAAAACGTTTAAGCAAAAAGTACAGAGACTCCCCATATATCCCCTTTCCACCTCCACTCCCACTTTCCCCTAT